AAAAACCCCAAAACAGCCATCCTCCCTTCCCCCGGCATCACTAGGGCTGCCACAGTTTGCTTTTTTAATACCTGGGTTTGGGTGGGGTTTCCCCCCTCTCTCTTTCAGGCCATTTGGGTAATTAACTTAATACGACATTAATTACACCATCCCCTCCCCAGCAGGGAGAGCTTAAGCACCGTCCTTTCCTTTTGGGGTCTAGCAGAGCCACTGGGTTCTCACGGAGGAGAAACTCGTGGGGTTTAACACCTCACCCCAACCCTCTCCCTGAGCCCGACGGCCGAGTGAGGAGCTCCATCTGCAGGCAAAGCTCTGCCTCCATCACCCCTGAAAACAGCTCCATCACCCCCAAATTCAGGCTTTGGCAGAAGAGTGCTTGGCACATCCCGGGCTCCGCAGCCAAGCGGCTCCCACGGCTGCTGCCATGCCAAGAGCTCGGCACTGACTCTGCTCGCCCACCCATCCACATGGGGGGGTGCCCCATGGCTGTCCAGGGCACCCCAAACCCTCCGTCCCTGGGGCTGTGGGGTGAGGAAAGAGCGAAGGAGGAGCTCGGGAGCCTCGGGGCAGGCACCAGAGGGAGTCACAGCTCTGTGCAACCGCTGCTCACACTGTCATTTTGCCAAAAGCACAGGATGCTCAGCCCTGGGCTGGTGGGCTCCCAAAAAAGCATGACCCAGCGTGATCTGCATGCCAGGGTAAGGAGCTCTCGGTGGGCGATGGGAGTGGCACAGCCACCGAGTCCCAGCCCATGGGGTGCAAAGTCCCCTCCCAGGGACCAAGACCCCAGTTGCAGCTTCTCCCTGGGGTCCCCCCGGCCATGAAGGTTGTTTGTGCCCCATCATGGTGGTGCCAGGCTGGAACGGGGCTGGTGGGGGCGGTGAGATGCCAGATCCGGCTGGGGCCATTCAGTGGCCAACGTGTTCCCAGCCCTACTGGGACTTGGCAAGGCCATGCTTTTAACCTTGAACAAATACCCCCCCCTTCCCTGGGGACGCCTCGCTGTTTGCAGGGCACAAACAAGCCACTTTGGGCAATGGAAAACTTCCCGCTAGGGCTCAGCAGCTCCGGGAAGAAACTGGATCCCAGTGCCGGCTAATCTAACTGATCTGTTTGCGCCAGCCGGTGTGGCACAGACCGGACGGCGGCGAGACGGGGCAGGCAAAGCCACGCTGCCCTGTCCTGGGTCGTGCACACACTGCTGGGGAAACACTACAGATGGAGGCTGATGGGCTCATCCAGGTTCTGTGTTGGTCCAATGCCGCCTCATGCTGCCCCGGCACAGCAGGAGGAAAGTGGCTGAACAGCAGAGCCCCACAAAGGGCATTGCCCAGCCAGAAAGGGGGTGCAAGCCCCACACCCCCAGTGTCATTCACACCAGCTTTGCATTGCTGCCATATCTTCCTCATCCCTGTTTGACCCCCCGGATGGGTTCTGGGGTGTCACACGTGGGGAATTGCCCTACTAAACCTCAACGATGTTCACCCCAGGGTGAGAAGAGCCAGGATTTACCTGCCAGCAGCAGCCAGGTATGGAGGTTTCAGCTTAGCTCCACCGTGCTGCAAGCTTTAGGGACCACACAACACGACGGGACCTGAGCCCTCCTGGCTCTGTGGTCAGCATGATGGTCCTCCAGGTCCCAGCTGGGCCAGCGTGCTGCTGTACTGCAGGGATGGGCTACGAGCATCCCTCACCTGCAAAGCAGGGACAGACCCATGGGACTGCCCAGCTCTTCCTTGCATGGGGTTGGACCCGTGCCTGGTATCAGCTACACCATGGAGGGAACACAGCCCTCTTCCTTCTCTTTTCGGTAGCCATCTGCAAA